TGTTAACAGAACAATCTAGAAACTAATGATGGTTATTTGCTGATAGGAGGTGGTAACTGGTTACTGATGGTACTAACGGGGTGAGTGGGAATGTGGCGCAGAAATAGGAAGAGTGAGACTTCTCTGAGTATCACTTATAACATTTGATTTTGAACATACGAATGCTTTATTCATTAAAAAAATTGAAAAATACAAAAAAACTCTAAAATTGATGCAAATAAAAATGTCAAATCTAACACTATCAAATTGATAACTATATTGAAAAGCAAATTAATTCAAGCAACTTCGGAGCATAACACTCTGCACACAGTTTAGGAAGATATATTATAAAGACTAAAAGAACTGCCAAGAAATCTTGAAAGTAGGTTCGTTGCTGGCAGGAGTACTGGAATGTGAGTCTCACCGATTTTGTGTAGGATAGAATAAATGAGTAAATATATCGATGCTGACAGGACCAGGGTGTTCACTGTGGGAGAAGGAAGACACCAGTATGGAAAGAGAAAGGCTAGAATGAGCCCTATGGTGCTGGATTTTAAATTGGAGGTATCAGGGCCGGCCCGGTGGCGCACTGGATAGTGCGCCGCTTGGGAGCACGGTGGCGCTCCCTCCCGAGGGTTCGGATCCCACATGCAGACCGGTTCCCGCTCACTGGCTGAGCGAGGCGCGGGAGCAGCACCAAGGGTTGCAATCCCGTTGCCGGTCCCCGGTCCGGTACGGGGGCAACACTGAGGGTTGCGATCTGTTGCCGGACACGGAAAAAGACAAAAGACAAAAAAAAAAAAAAAATTGGAGGTATCAGTATGCACTCATGATTTAAAAATATTCCATGTGTGGGTAGCCGACCAGCACTGGGTCTGTGGGCGGTGGCGCGGGCTTCTGGATTCGCTGTGTCTCTATATGCATCTCTGTACTCTAGCTGCTGCAAAGCCTTCCCTTTCCTCACCGTGTTTGGGGGCTCCAACTCCTCCAATGCCCGGGGAGGGCCCACACAACCCTCGTGGTGGGCAGTCCCAGGGTCTGGGGAGGCGGTGGGCGCCCACCCGCAGCTCTAGGTCTTTCATCCCGCCTGCGGGAAGCAGGATCCAGGATCCAGGTGGTCTGGGGCTCTGGAACCTGCCCACCCACCAAACTTTGCCCCACATCTAGGCAGGACATCCCCTAGCCAGAATATAGTAATTTGAGGGAACTCAGTTTTACAACTGTACTAGCCCCCTTCTGGGTGCATTTGGTCTTGGTAGTGATAGGCCATGTTTAAGCTACACACTTAATTGCTTCAACTTTCCTTAGATTCTGTTTTTCGGCCCCTGCTTCTAGTTCAGTAGTGTCCCTACAACATGTTGGACTAGAGCTATGGGGAGTGGGAAACCAGAGATTTTCTTGCCTGCTTTATGCCAGAGCCATGCTTTCTCAGAGCCCCCCAAAATAATTGCATCTTGGAATGTTTGTGTTTTTGTGTACAATTTCATTCTGTTAGTATTGAGGAAATAAGATTTATGCAGGAACTTCTTTGATCCCTTACTAACTGAACTTAGATGGTTTAAACAAAGTCAAACCCTTGAGAAAGAAAGTCTCAGTTTAGGTTGTTGCTTCAGGTCAGGCTGAAGGTTTTATGTAAGTTCCCAGCATAGAAAAGTTGTTTGGCCCGGACGTAACACCACCGGCACCATCGACTTCCCTGCTTCTGAGGCCTCTGGACTTGGACCGAGCCATGTTATTGGCATCCAGTTTGCAGACTGCCTATTGTGGGACTCCTCAGCCTCTACAATTGCATGAGCCAATTCCCCTAATAAATCCCCTCTCATATATTTAAAGAAAAGAAAAGAAAAAAGAAAGAAAAGGTGTTTGGGTAAAATGAGAAATTTGGTCAATATTCAGCTTCAGGTTGTTGACTCCGCTACAGCTGTAGGTGAACCACTTAGAAACAATGTATTCGAGTGGAATACTAAAATTTTGTTTCTGAGCCAAAAGGAATTCTTGAATGGTCTTTTGCTCCTTTCTTTCACTGTAGTGGAACTCTTTTTTTTTTTTTTAAAGATGACCCGTAAGGGGATCTTAACCCTTGGCTTGGTGTTGTCAGCACGACACAGCCAGTGAGCTAACCTGCCATCGCTATATAGGGATCTGAACACGTGTCCCTGGTGTTATCAGCACCACACTCTCCCGAGTGAGCCACTGGCCGGCCCTACGCTGTAGTGGAACTCTTTGTTCAATATCTATCGCCTATTCCTACTGACATGGGAGTGGAAAGGAGAAGAAAGCACTGACTTGCAGTGATTTAGCAAATACTGCATAGGAATTGGAACTTTGCAGTTTCTTGCAGATTAGAGTGTATTACCGAAGATTTTAGCTAGTAAATACTTGAAAGTGCTTGGAGAGGAGAAGGAAGAAGATGAGAAGGAGGAAAATGACAATGACAAAGACAGCGATAATGACGAAGCCTAATCCTAAAGCAAAAAAGGCCCTTAAAAATCAGCCTGGTGGGCCAGTCCGGTGGCGCACTGGATAGTGCGCCGCTTGGGAAGCGCGGCGGCGCTCCCGTCCGAGGGTTCGGATCCCACATGCAGACCGGCTCCCGCTCGCTGGCTGAGCGAGGCGCGGGAGCAACACCGAGGCTTGCGATCCAGTTGCCGGTCCCCGGTTCGGTGCGGGGGCAACACTGAGGGTTGCGATCTGTTGCCGGACGCGGAAAAAAGACAAAAGACAAAAAAAAAAAAAAAAAAAAAAAAAAAAAAAAAAAAAAAAAAAAAATCAGCCTGGTGAGGACCCTCCTGGATTAGCACCATTGCTCTGGAGTAAGCACAACATTGCTTGCCTTTAGTCTCTTTGCTTTTTCAGAGACTTCGGTGCATTGTATTCTTTCTTGGCTAAGACAGAGCTCTCCACGCACATACACCATAAACAGCCAAAGGGAAAGTAACCCGGACAGCAGCCTCTCTGTGACAGGCCCACCCCGCAGTTGGAGGTTACCATGAGAGCTGCCTGTACAGTTGGGTCGTATCAATTGATCTGCTGCAGCTCTAAACTGAAGAGGCAAAGACGATTTTGTTTAACTTTTTCATTTACGAATAGATCTTGAAGAGCTTCTAAACACCAGTTGAGTAAATTCATACATCATACATACATACTTAGAAATTAGTTCTTGTTAACAACTAGATTTAGTATTAGCTAAATATGTTGTTTATAAGTAGTATGTCACATTTGAATTTTTGTATTTTAAGAATATTTATTTGAGGGGCTGGCTGATTAGCTCGGTTGGTTACAGCACAGCCTTATAACACCAAGGTTACAGTTTCAGATCCCCACACCAGCCTGCTCCGCTGCCCCAGAAAAGAACATTTATTTGACTATTTGTCAAAATATTATTTTACCGTGAAGAAGTATACATTTCTTTTCTGTTAAAGATCTGTACATATTTGTACAGTAAAATGCTTTATGGAGCTAAAAATATATAAGGGTATACTGTTCATCATATGTGTGTGTGGGTGTGTGTGTACAAAATATGAAGGGAAGTGCAGCAAACAGTAGGTCTTGTGCCAGAAATTGCTGTTCAAAGATTGGTAGGACATATAAAAGGACAAAGGAGCCTGGTGAGGGGGCTTCCACTGGCCGAATATGGGCAATTTGAGCACAAAAATAATAATGGTATTTGATTTAATAATTGAATTAAAAAAGAATCCAGGAGTCCACATTACTACTCAAAAAGGAGGAAGAAGAGGGGAATTGTGAAGGGAAGGAAGATGAGGAGGAGAAAAGAAGAGATAAAGGGGGAAAAAGCCTCTACTCTTCTTTAGACAGGAATGCTAGCTAAAAAATGTAGATGGAATGATAGAATTGGAAAGTCAGCGTTTTATAACCTGTGTAATTAAGTGTTCATCAGTGTGTGCTACATCCATGGGGTGAAGGATTGTTAGACAAACTATCCGCCTAGTTTCAGCCTATCCCCAGAGACAGTAATGATCGGTTGCAGAGGGTGGTTTTGTGATTGAACTTGGCCTCACGGATAATGATGTGAGAACGACATGTTTCTCCCGATGTGAAGCATTGGGAAGGACACACCATCACCTCCTACTTTTCTCACTAAAATGTTTAACCGGAATCTAATAATGAGGAAACAAACCCATAAATCCAGAACTGATACAGTCTACAATACCATTAGCCTGGACTTCAACTATGTCAATCTCATGAAAGATTAAAAAAAGCGAGGGTACTGTTCTAGACTAAGGAGTTTATACAGCGACATGAAATCAAATGCAACGGATTAATGATCCTCAGCAGATCCTGAATTGAGCGTGCGAGTGTGACATTTAGGGGACAACAAAGGAATTTAAATATGGACGGTATACTGGATGATATGATTCAAATGGTATTAAATTTGTGAGTATGGTGAGGCATTTATGGACGAAGCTGGGCTGTTTTCAACTTTCCAATGGTTGAGGGGGAAAAAAAACTATATATTGAGCAAGAACGCAAATGTTGCAAAATGTTAGCATTTGTGCATCTGGATAAAGGGTATGCTGTTCATAACACGGTTCTTTCAATATTTCGGTCAGTTTGTACATTTTCAAACTACAAACTGGGATATAAGTGCAATTTACTTCCTACTGTGGAACTTCACGTGGACACAGAGAACCAGCCCCTTGAGGAGGCTCCTTTTCCGTGGCTCTCGGTGAGCTACCCAAGTTTCTCCTTCACGGAAGAGCGGAGACCAGAAGCCACGTGAGGGACAACAGAGTCCCCGCCAGCTCCCTCCCCAGCAAGTGCCGGCTGGATATCCGGTGTGGGACTCGGCTCGGTCTCGGCCCCGCCCCTCCGCGGCTCCTGCCCCGCCCTGGGCTCAGCCCCGCCCCGGCCCCCAGCCCCGCCCTTCCGCGGGCGGCTAGGGGCGTGGCTTGCGCGTGACTGGTGCCGGAAGCGACCAATGGGAGCCGAGGTTGAGGGCGGGGCCGCGCGGGGGCTCCTGGGCCGCCCCAGCCGCTTGGTCGCCTGTTCTGCACCTCTGGTGCGGGCTCTGGCTCTGGTCGCAGCTGGACGTGGGTTGGTGGAGGTGAGGGTCGCTGCCCGGTAAGTGTCTGCGGCCTCCTCTCTCCCGGAGCCCGGAGCTGGGAACGTCATTGTGACTGCGGTCTCCGGAGGGCCCCGATGCGGCCGGGCATATTCAGGGTTGCCGGTACTCTCGGGTTCGCGTGCAGGGCGGGCTCGGTGGGGCGCGAGGTTCCGGGGACGGGGACTGGGCCCCGCTCCTCCGGCTGCTGCAGCTGCCTTGGGTCGGGCCTCTTCCGCAGGAACCACTGTTGGCGGTGTGGGGTGGTTCCTGTTCCGCGTCGTTAAGACCCGAGTGTGAAGCCGGTTCTGGCATCCCGCGCTCGCCCCCGGCTCCGCGGTCTGTTCCTCCTGCCTCTGCGTTCCTCCCCCTCGTGGGTTCATTCAGACCGCAGCCCCAGCGCCGGCGAGCTTCGGACTGCACTTTGAATCGCTCGTAGAACTTGTCAGGTTGGCTCACATTTGTGAGGACGGGTCAAATGACTTTGCTCAGGCAGTTAATGTAGCTCTGGGTTTTAGGACCTTAGTAGGTGTAATTTCATGTAAAGCAGTGGTAATGATCAGCATTATTATTCCTGCGTAAAGAATAGCAGAACAGTGTAGGAACTGGCCTGCACATTCTAGGTTTGTCCTACTGGTGTAGTGAGAAAGTTGAAAAGCATGAATTCTGGTTTTGGTTTTGCTCCTGCCACGTTTTGTGACCATGGGCTCAGTTAATTCATGTGTCTCATGAAATGGAATATGATTTCTAAGATTCCTTTTAAACCCCACGTTTCGTAAGTCTGGTGAGCTTATTTTTCGTTCTGCACCTTTAAAAAGAATAGGACATAGGAAAAGTTCATGAAAGGGCAGTCCGGCAGGGAGAAGATTTATGTGAACTCAGAAGTTTAGAGACTGGGATTACCGTTTAAGACTGCAGACTGAAAAGGGAAAACACCAAGTGAAGTGGAAATTATGAAGAATTAATTATATCAGAAACTTAGGAAGCTTTCAGAAGTACCAGGAGCAAGTACTATGTTTAGTTACTTCTCTTTACAGCTGTTCAAATGAGGTCAGGAGAAAATAAATATTGAGTAACCATGTAAGAGAAAATGTAATTGATAGGATGTTGAACTTAGCATATATCTTTTTTTTTTTTTTTTTCCCCTTTCTTTTTGGCGGCTGGCCGGTACAGGGATCGAACCCTGGACCTTGGTGTTATCAGCACCAACTCTCAGTTATTTACCAACTGAACTAATAGGTCTGCTCCCGTTGGCATGTATCTTAAGGGTAGAAAGAATCCTTTGGAACTCTTAATTTGTATAGACATTTCTATTCAGAAAACACTTTTTTAAATGGAAAGTTTTGTATTTGCCCTGAAGAAAAATCCTACATTTATTCTGAATGTGTAGAATTCCTGACCTTCTCACCCACCAATATTTTTTAACAACCTTTGGAAGACAGCGTTTGGCTGTAGCTCATAGAAGAAAGATCACCTGATCCTTCAGAGAGACTTAGTTTGAATACTCTGTGCTGTGACTAGGGAAAGTCACTTTTCTTCTCTGAGGCTGTTTGCTCAGTTGTGAAATGTGGATAATAATATCTATTTCATAGGGTTATGATGATTAAATAAAATCCTTTGTGTGGAAAATGTATAGCAATTCCTGATGTCAGGTATTCTTAACAACTATTGTTAAGTGTTGTGTTCGTAATGCAGCAAAGAGAAGTGGTCACTGGGTTTTAGTCTGGCTTCTGAGAGTGTGGCCAAAAGAGCTCAAAATGCGAAGTGATTTACAACCACTGCCTGACCCTGGAATTTCTGCAAAGTTGTAATCCGTTCCCTGGATCTCGGGCTGAAATGCTGCCCAGATACTATGGACTGTTAAGGACACATCGATCTCTGAATGTCTTGGCAGTTCAGTAGATAGAGTTGGGATTTTTCCAGAAAAACTGTATTTTGAAGTTAAGGAATGTATGTGAGGCAAGCTTCTCCAAAAAGAGCTCAAAAACAAAGAAACGGGTTAGTTTCCTGAACAGAGACATCAGCCCAAGGTAACTGAAGCCCTGTCACAGCTTGCTGTGGCCAGTATAGCTTAGTGCGCATATGCTTGCCTGTTCCAGTCTTAACTAGAGCCTTTTCTTGTTTGGGTGTTTATTCTACTACTGAGGCATTCTGGTTGTTTATGTAAGTCAAATTGTTCTTTCCTGTACTCAGCGAACATTAACTTGGGAAGGCACAATATTCTTAACTGCTCAGGGATCTAGTCCTATCATTTGGAAAGGAAAAGGGAAGGGCCGAAAAGATTTTATCCTCCTACTAGCTCACCTTTAAAAACTGTTTTTGGTGGTACATCTGAATAGGAATTAATGGGTATGTGATCCATCCACGTGTTTCAAAACTACTAGGAAGCAATTCCACAACAATTTTGAGCTTTAGCTGAGTATTTGCTTATGAGTATTAACCCAGAACTTCTGGGTTTTAATTTAACTAACTAAAAACTTAATATCAAAACCATTAGAGGAAAAAGCCAAATCATATTAAAACCAAACTAGCAAAACAAATAAAAGTAGTGGCAGACTACTAGAAAATCAATTAGTAAGATGGCTTGGGGTTATATGACAAAGTAATTAAAACATTTTTTAAAATTGGAGATCAATTATAATCTCATTTCCGATAAATTTTTGCTGACATTTTGGAGGATATCTTGTGTGTGCATCTCCACATCCTTACATACATATATATTCATTGTAGAAAAAAATCCCTACTAAATAAGATTAAAAGGAAGAACCAACTGGAATGTCACCGAAAATTAACTACTTAAAACAAGAACTTAGGTGATTACAGTGTTCATGGCATGAATTGGCCATCATTTACTTAATTCACTGATTTTTTAGTAAAAACACAAGATACTTGGACTGTGTTCCCGAGAGCTTCATTCAGTAGGTGGGGTCCTGGTTTCTATACCTTTTTAAAATTTAATTTCTTACTTAACATCCAGATTTTTTTTTTTGTATTGAAACATATTGATTATACATGTTTGTGGGGTACAGAGTTATATTTCAATACATGTATACAATGTGTGATGATCATATCAAGATCATTAGTGTATTCATCATTGCAAAACTAAATCATTTCTTTGTGATGAGGACATTTGATCTCCTCTTTTCTAGCCATTTGATAACATGCAGTAAATTATTGTTAATTATAGATGCCTCATTCAACTATACACCAATAAAACTTGTTTTTCCTATCAAGTTATTTTGTGTTCATTAACCAACCTATCATATATCCCCTTTCCCTTCCCCTTGGTTTCTAAACTTTTAAGACGTTCTGCAGCCAGGTTAAGAACTACTAATAAGGAGTCCTGTGTTCCATACAGGTGTTTGATGTATATATAGTCTCACACCCCCCAAAATAAGTATCTTATTGGAGGTGGAGGGAATGGGGGCAACTGCTTAGTGGTTTCCTTTTGGAGTGATGAATACATTTTGGAACTAGATAGAGTGATGGTTGCACAACATAGTGAATGTATTAAGTGCCATGGAATTGTTCACTCTGAAATGGTTTGTTGTGTGTTATATGAATTTCACTTTAATAAAAAACCCTGGGGGCTGACCAGTTAGCTCAGTTGGTTACAATGCAGTGGTGATAACACCAAGGTCAAGGGTTCAGATCCCTGTACTGGCCAGCCACCAAAAAAAAAACAAAAACAAAAAATAAAACCTAAAAAAAAATCATATGAACACTATAATTGTATACTATTTGTTGGAAAAATAATTGCTGTTTAGATTGACTAACTAAGTTCTGAATATTATATTTTCTCTTAAGATTTTTCAATTAAATTACACACATTTTTATTGTTTATAAGATGTGTACCCTATCAGCATTACCTTATTTATTCTGCTTAGTAATATTTTCTCCTTAATTAAAATTGACAGAATATCTTAGATCATCACAAGCTCCTTGTGGATTTTTAATTTTGTTTATTTTTGGCGACTGGCTGGTATAGAGATCAAACCCTGGACCCTGGTGTTATCAGCACTAGTAATCGAGCTAACCGGCCAACCCGATACTTTATTTTTAAGATGCTTTTACCTTTGTGATAGTGTACAGCCTCAGTCATTGCAGAAAGAACACTTGGGGTTGGAGGCCCAGTTCTGCCCCCATCAACTGTGTGGCCTTAGGCAAAACATCTTGGTGAGATTGGGCTTCATAGTTTGTGGGAATGGTAATATTTGTTCTATCCAAAACTTGTTGAGGGGATCCACAGATCATTTATATAGAACATTTTGTTAGTTACAGCACTTCCACATGTCCCTGTTAAGTAGTTATTGTTTTGCTTTTTAACTTGGAATCAGCAAAATCTGAGAATGGTTGAGGAAGTTAGTACGGCGTATAAATGAATTACTGGATTTATTATTGTTATTGTTATTATTATTATTATTATTTTTGGCAGTTGTCCAGTATGGGGATATTATTATTATGTTTTAGCCTGTAGTGGGGAGTGTAATGGATTTATTATTAATGTATTCTTATAGTCTGTAACTTAGTGTTAATTATTATATGAGTTCTGACTTTAGTAAGGCTAAGAATTAGTTAAGTACAGGTATTATTAAATATTTTCAAGAATAACAGGGAGATGAGAGGAGTTTTTGGAGCAGGGCTTGCTCTTTGGTACTGAAATACATAAGAACATATGATGATTTTCAAGTTCCATGCTTCGAGAGTCTTCTTCCTTACTCATTTGTAATTACTCTGAATTTGGTTAATATCCATAAATGAGGAACAACTATTGGTGGATTTATTTATTTATTTTTATTATTATTTTTCTTCCTTTTTGTCTTTTTTCGTGACCGGCAACGGATCGCAACCCTCAGTGTCGCACCCGTACCGGACCGGGACCAGCAACGGGATCGCAACCCTTGGTGTTGCTCCTGCACCTCGCTCAGCCAGTGAGCGGCCGGTCTGTATGTAGGATCCGAACCCTCGGCGGGAGCGCCGCCGCGCTTCCCAAGCGGCGCACTGTAGCAGTGCGCCACCAGGCCAGCCCCTGGTAGATTTATTTAAGGTCCTCTTTGGATTCCTTATGTTTTCTCTTAGCTTTAGCAAGCTCCTTGGCCTTGTTGAGAACTGACATTCTAGGCAGTCGGGATTTGTGGTAGGCCTCTCTTGAAAAAAGTAAACTTGGGAAATTCCTAAGTACATGTGAATTAAAAACATTGGGCATATTGCTTGTCAGTCATATTGCTTCTAGTTTATACTCATGATGTTAACAGCTGGGAGCAGCCTGGCATGAAGGAAGGGGGCAGACTGCCTCCTAGGGAAGCTCCTTTTAACCTCTGAGTCTATGTTTATTCCTCACCACCACCCTCATTATAGCAGCCAACACGATCAATTATGGGGGAGAGCCCATACTAAGCTGAATAAAATGCCTCACTTTAGGCCTATCTTGGGGATTAAATATTATATATATGTATTTATTTTTTTTATAAAAAAAATGCACTAGTGCACCTGAGGAATGTGATGCCTTCCTGTGGGGACTCACTAAGACAGTGGCAATGAGTAGCAGATATTCATTGGGCGAAGAAGAACAGATTTAAGATAAAAATAGTCTCCATTGTACGGGGCTGAATACATGCACACACATCAAGGTATCAGCATAGTGGATTACTTCTTGAGGTCTGAGTGAATATTCAGGCACCTGATAAAGTAAAATTTGCTTTATCATTTTGCTGATCATTTTGCTGACTTGGAGTTTAGGAGATAGGGATGCTTTGCTTTATTAAGGCCAGGCTCCCCTGGGAAACTGTTGCAGGAGGATTTCAATGATCGCACCTGTATTAGTCCATTTCTTTTGCTTATAACAAAATATCAGGAACTGGGTAATTTGTAAGAAAACAAAATGTATTGCTTACAGTTTCTGAGGCTGGGAAGTCCAAAGTCCAGAAAACACATCTGGTGAGGGTCTTCCTTGCTGGTGCCTTTGCAACACAGGCTATGACATTGTGAAATGGTGGAAGCAGAGACAGTGCTCCTCATGTGCTCTCCTTTTAAAGCTCTCAGCACCATGCCCATGACCATCATTAATCTATCCAACTTATTACTCAGTGAATGGATCAATGCATTCACTAGGCATAGTCCTCACAGTCCAATCACCTCTTCAAGGCCCCACCTTTCAATTACCTAATAGGATTTCCCACTCTCTTTACACTGTCACAGTGGGGGTTAAGTTTTGGGGGGACATCAATCCACAGCAGCACCTGACAGAGTTCTCCAAATAAAACCCAAAGAAAGAGTTTAGAGAAGAAACTGCCTGTGTGAGAAATCAACGACTTTGAAATGTCTTCCTTTTGTGTCCAGGAAAAGCCCTGTGGGAGGCGATGTTTCCATAAATCAAAGGAGGAGGGACAGCATGAGCATGTCAGCTGTCAACTGGAAGCCATTTGTGTATGGGGGCCTGGCCTCCATCACGGCCGAGTGCGGTAAGGAGCCAGGGTACTGGAGGAGCTTTGGTATTTGATGTGAAGGTTGTTCAGGTGCAGCATGTGAGCTTATGAAACACTCACCTCAGTATTCTAAAATGACTCATTTTGGTATGTTTTTAAGACAAAATTGTCATTTTGGCTATTTATTATCAGTTTAGGGTTCAGAATTCATGGGGAGAAAGTTGAGCCTATTGACCAGACCAAAAGTTTTATGAGCCATTTTTGGATTGCATCTGTCCCTATTTTACTTGTCCCTCCCCCCACTTTGCCACTGTTAACGCATTTGGCTGGAGGGAGGTTTGAGAAGCTCAGGGGTCTTTCCCGAGCCACCTTAGATTGATTCACTCTGATTATTCAGTCACTTTCTAATTATGCACATCATCCATGTCCTACTTGTGACTTCCTCATCAGTTGGGTTCCACATCAGATCCTGTTTGTTCCTGTTTCTTTGTTCCCTGGAATCATTCATTCCACAAATATTGGTTGAGCAGCTGCTGAGTGCCCGGTGCTGGGCTGGACATGTCATTGCTTCCAGGGCTCAGTCGCTGCTGTCCTAGGACAGACGCTGCCCCTAAGGAACTGGTGAGGACCAGGGCCGAGGGGTGAGCACATTCACCACCCACCGGCTTAGGTCCTCTGTGCAGGTCGAAGGGGGCTTTCCCATTGACACAATGGATCGAGGTTACTTACTGTCTGAGGATGGGTTTTATAAGTTTGGGTGGACTATTTGTTAGGTACTATATTAAACATATTTACCTGCATTATCAGATTTAATTTTAGACTATAAAACACTCCTTCCTAATTGAGAAACTCCTTTAGAAAATGAATTTTTTATTTTTCTGCATTCACATTGGAACCTATTTTTAGCCTTCACATACATACAGAGTAGCAATTTATGTTTTTTTTTTTTTTCCTTTTTTCATGTCTGGCAATGGACCGCAACCCTCAGTGTCGCGCTCGTACCGGACCGGGACCGGCAACGGGATCGCAACCCTCGGTGCTGCGCCCACCCCTCACTCAGCCAGTGAGCGGGAACCGGTCTGTATGTGGGATCTGAACCCTCAGCGGGAGCGCCGCCGCGCTCCCAAGCGGTGCACTGTAGCAGTGCGCCACCGGGCCGGCCCCAGCAATTTATGTTTTTAAATGGATTTCTTGTGTGTATAGATCATTCTATGTGTCTACTTTCTACAGCAACAACAGCTTCCTCAAATCCTATGTAGAGTAAGATGGGCATACATAAAAATATAAAGAATATAAAAAAAGGAAAATACATTTATGCATTTTGTAATTAATATTTTGGTTCCTAAATTGTTTTATAAATAAAGATTGCAGAGTACCTGCCATTTCTTAATTCACATTATACTCTGAATGTTTTTTCAGTAATATATCACTATGCATTCTTTGTGGAATTTCTTTCAAGTGAAACATGCCTTTCTTTAAAATTTTAAGGTACATTTCCAATTGATTTAACCAAGACACGGCTCCAGATTCAAGGCCAGACGAATGATGCAAAGTTTAAAGAAATTAGGTATCGAGGAATGTTGCACGCATTAGTGAGGATAGGCAGAGAAGAAGGGCTGAGAGCCCTGTATTCGGGGTGAGTAGAACTTTGTACGTTTATGTTTCACTGTTGACCCTTTCAAATGGGTAGACTTAAGGCTAAGACTTCACAGAAAGTAAAAGTTTGAAGTATATTTGAAAAGAACTATTAGCATGGTAGATTCTTCACTTTTAACTTCAACTTTATTTTCCGAATATATATTTTAAGTAGCAAATGTTTTGGTGAAACTATGTTTTTATTATATTCAAGAGCAGGTATATAAAAATTACTTCTGTTTTAAAACATCCTGTTATTCAGTTTTATGTTCTTTGAAAATAGCCGTTTCCCTTAGCTCTTCTGAATTGTTGAGGTTTTTGCTGCAATGAGAATGATGTAGCATGGGTTAGAGGTGCAGGGAGCTAGTTTTCACTCATTCAACATTTAACAAACAGTGTGCTATAGGTGCTGGGTAGGAAAGTGCAGAAGAGAAGGCCCTGCCCACATCAGTCAGAGTCCCTGCAGGAGACAGAATTCACTCAGGTGGTTTGAATGAAGAGACTTAAATGAAGAGACTATTGAGGGGTTAAGGGAATACATGAGGATAGATATTGAGGTACCTAGAAAGTGAGAAATTGTTAACAACCCTAGACTACAGGGGCAAGGGCAGGCATAGTGTTACTGGAGCCCAGGGGAGCTGGGGCCTTGAAGGAGAGACAGCAGCCACGGTATTGTCGAGGGATGCTTTGGTAGTGCCCAGGGAGGGAAGAAGTCCTCTACTTCTTTCTCCGTACTCCCCCCTCATACTGGCTGAACCCACCTGGAGGTCGGCTGTCAGGGGAGCCTCTCAGGGCACAGAGAAGGGTGAGAATGGATCTGGGAAGACAGATGGGGATCAGTAGCAGCACAGTGTCCTTAAGGAGCTATGGTTTAGTGGGGCTGCAGACGTGTAAACAGGGAATTACAATGGAGTCTGATAAGTACTAGAGTTGGGTAGAGAGAGGGCCTCAGTTTCACTATCACTGTTTAGTCCAGGAGGCACTGGACCAGATCTTGAAGGATCGAGAAGAGACAGCCGGGTGAAGTTAGAGGGGAACTGTATTCATACAGAGCCAGTAGTCTGTGCAAGAGAGCATGGTACTTCTTGGAACTGTGAGTAACTCAGCATGGATGTGCTGTGGAAGTTGGAGCTGGAGTCAGGACTTGGACGGCTTCACGTCACGCTAAACATCTTGATTTTATCCAGTACACTACAGGTCTCAAACTGGTGGCCACAGCCCCTCCATGGACCCACCAGTCCCTGAAGATTTTTATTTTTAATACTTTAAAATACTTAAAAAATGAGAAATTGCACATAAAAATCTGGAATTTCATCTTCTCAAGAAAAATCAGTATTGGGCCCAGATTCATTCACTTATGACAGTAGTTGCTGGGGTTAAGAATACTTTCCCCTGTTTATAAAACTTCTGACACTCACATAGTGTATGTGTGTGCAGCTGGATCCATCTGCTTCATTTACTTGCGGCATTTGCCTGGTACCTGTACCATTTGAGTTTGCTATGCCTGTGGCAGACAGAAGCCATTGAAGGGTTTTAAGTAGGAGGACTGACATGATCAGGTTTCCACTGTAAAACCTGCCTGCCTGCCATGGGGAGAAAGATCTGAGTGGGTGACACTAGAAGCAGGGCTGTCATGTAGAAAGCAGAGATGACGAGGATCTGAATTGAGGTATTGGTCTTGGGATGGAGAGAAAGAGAGGGTGTAAGATCTATAGTATCTGTGACCTCATATATGAGGTCCCCATATATGAGGGGGGTAGTGGGGAACAAGCAGACAACACTAAGGTCTTGATTTCTGGTTTCAGCCAATGTGTAGCTAGAGGTTCCATTCCCTGGTCTAGGAAACAGAAGAGGAGAGCTGATTAGAAAAGGAAGATAATTAGTTTAGTGTGAGACACTTGATCTGGAGGTATATGTAGGACATCTAAACTGAGAATCTAGGAAGCAGTTTGAAATGTGTCTTTGGATCAGTGTTGGAAGCATGAATTTAGTAGCAGTCAGTCCATAGTTGTTGAAGTCCTAGGAGTAGATGAGCTTACCCAGGGAGAGTATGGAGTAAGGAGAGAAGCAGCATAGGATAGAATCCTGGGGAACCCCAGAGGACACAGGTAGGATGCTGCAGAGAAAAGAAAAGAAGAGGAAGAGGGTGACATTACAGCAGATAGGGGAGGAGACAGCTACAAGTAGGACAAAGGGGCAGACAGTAGCAAATATTGCAAAATGTTTATATGAGATACCACTTGAAAAGCATCAGGGGTTTTTCTGTTTTGTTTTTTTTTTTTGGTGGCTGGCAGATATGGGGATCTGACCTTGATGTTATAAGGCTGTGCTCTAAGGTTTGTGTTTTTTGGCAGCTGGCGGGTATGGGGATCCAAACCTTGCTTTTATCAGCACCATGTTCTCCCAAGTGAGTTAACCAGCCAGCCCGGCATCGTTTAATTTAGCATCAAAGATGTCAGTTGGTGACCTTGCACCTTTGTGAGGGGAGTTTTGAGGGAGAGGATAGAGGGAACCCAGGTTGCAATTCAGGAAGGAAGTGGGATTTGCAGTGAGAGCTGGGAGTGTGAATGCTGCAGGGTGGTTGTGGGTGGGAAGGATAATTGCAAGGGTGTATAGGATGGAGGAAGCTTGGCTTGTTTTTCCTGATACTGTCTTGAGCTTGTTTCAGTATCATGGTGGGAAGGAAGACTTTTAGGGAGAGGAAATAACTGGAACAGGGCCCCCGAGGAGGTAGGAGATGAGCTCCAGAGCACAGCCGAAGAATTACAGATGCTTACGGTATGCCTAGTTGTCCAGGTGCTTTGTACTGAGGAAGGAAAGCTCTCCTTGCATTTTAACGTGAATGGGAGAGCGAACTCCATGTTCACTTTACATTTTCGGTGAGGATAAATATGAGGGGCTGAGCTTTTACTTAGTGAACTAATAATTTGCACAAATTTAACTGAACCCACCTATATTTTTGCTGGATTTTGAATTTTAAGAAATCCGTTTTAGTGTTATTTTGGAAGGCACTCTGCATGTGGGTCTTCCAGAGGATTTTAAGTGATTTTTAGATTGCTTTTGTCCCTTTGTGCATTGGTTTAACAGGATTGCTCCTGCCATGTTACGCCAGGCTTCCTATGGCACCATCAAGATAGGCACGTACCAGAGCTTGAAGCGATTATTCGTTGAATGCCCAGAAGGTGAGTGGGGAATCTGTTTTCCACCGTGGACCAGAGGTGGGTTATCTTTTTATTCAACTGGTTTTGGAGCAGATTTTCTTCAGCTTATTTTTGACTTTACTGCTAAAGAGAACTGAGTATAAAGTCTAAATGAATTGTGCTTAAAGCAAATGGGTTATCAGCTGAATTGAGGGGAATAACACTTAAAAGGAGTAATCTCTGCACACATTTTAATTAGTTTTCCTCATCTCCACAATGCCTGGACTAGAGGATATGTTGTTACTATTCTATCCAAGTTAACATTTTCTAAAATCATATTAATTATCACCTATCTTTCAGGAAAGCAGTGGATATATTTCTTAGCATTAAGAACTCTGAGTTCTGATATTCTATGGCTGGTTAGTTCTGTCTTTGTTTTAACCCACAGAACTTTCTATCACTTTTTTGTAATGGGATGTGCACTAGTCACTGCTATATGAGTGGTGAATGGAAGCTAAAATGCTTTGAAAGTACTTCAGTGTATTTCAAACTAAATACATATGATGTACTTTAAAACGTTCCATGCCAAATAAATCTCCATGTTATTTCATAGCAATGTATCTTTTTTATTCTGCTAATGTATATACCTTCTCTCAGTTATGGTGGTCTGAATTCATACACAAAAGTGAATTGGTAGATGGTTACTTTGCATGATGTTTCACATGCCTTTTTACATATCAAGAAATTTTGCTAAGCAAATCCATTTAGCCAGCAAAATTCCTAATCCTTTTAAAATTACTTGATTCATAAGGCATAAATTTCTTTATCTTACCCCCCCCCCGACTTTTTTTTAGAGGAGAGAGTATTACGAAGGAAGGAGGGAAAAGCATCATAAACATCATAGAAAAGTAAGATAAAAACTAAAAAGTGTCCAATGGCAATGAGTTTATTCTTGTAGTCATAGTAAGTGGCACAAAAAAGGCCTCCCTCAGGAATGAATCAGTCAGTAGCTTTTAACCTTGGTTGTGCATTAGAATAAGCTGGGTTACTCTTTTAAACATCAGGATGCCCAAGCCATACCCTGACCAGTTAAATCTAAATCTCTGGGCTTAGGATACAGACATCAGTGTTTTTTAAAGCTCTGCGGGTGATTTCAATGCGCAGCCAAGCTTGGAACTACGGGTGTTAAGTAAATCCATACACTCCATAGTACCTGGTACAATTGTTTAAATGGGTTTCTACCTTACCTATTAGCTTCTTTAGTATGTATGTACTGAGTCTTAACGTTTGTAACCTCAAGCTGTTATATATAATAGGGGCTCAAAACTTTCCATTGTATGAATGAATACTATGTATTCTTTCAAGGGGGGGGGACGGAATAACGAAGGAATAACAACCCATAATTAGAAAATGCTATCCATCATTAACAGGCAAGAATTGCTAAAAACAAATTAGTTTTGTGTATTATGGATAATGAAACCTAACCCGAGTCTCAGCATTTATTATAAATTGCCCTTGGCAATTTATGTGACTTCCATTCAGAACAAACAATCTAATTCACATGGTAATTGAGACCAAACAAATTATATTAGAAAAAAACCTGAGACAAAGTCAAGAGAAAGCATGAAACAATGTGGTATGAAACTTGCTCACCTGAGTTATGAGTATTAAAATGCATTTACAGTTATAAAGTACTTAGGACAGCTTTAGCACAGGGTGAGTACTATCGTAGCACCTTCCTGAAATATTGTTAGCAGAATATAGCTCTAGAATTGGAAAAAATTGGTCCCTTATGCACATACCGACTGCACAAAATGGTAAAGTTATTTTACAGCTTCTTTCTTTTTGCGAAGAAATGCTTAAAACTTTCTTGCATAGAGGTGTGGTTGACCCTGTTAATTTATCAGCATTTATATTGGGAAAAATGTAGGTCAGTAATGCAGATGTGTTAGCAGAGAAGATATAGTGAGAACCAACTCGATGACTTTACAGCGTCAGTACCGTTGGTTGAGACATGGACAGTCCATGTTTGTAACTAAGAGAAAGTTTGGCGTCACTCACAGCACGTGGCTTAAACTAAGAGGAAATGGTCAGAAAGGAGAAAGGTCAAGGTCTCGTGGGAGGGAGGGCGGAGACAGTGCGTCTCACTTGTAGTTTCCTGGGCCAGTCTTTGTTCTTCACCGACTTCTCCTAATTCTTCTCGTTGGTCACCTCCGGCGACTTTTCTTCCCAAGCTTCTGTCGCCTGCTTTTACCCCAGGGTTGGGAGTCCAGGCGTGGGGACACCGCAGGCTGGGCAGTAAGTGGCTCCGCCTGCTGTGGGTGTGGCGGGAGGGCGACGCCCCCGGGAAGCCCCGCCCTCCTGTCCTGCCTCGCGCCCTGAGGCCCCTCTTCTTGGGTTTAACACTTGCTTAAGAGAGAGCGCTGCAGCCACGCGTCCCTGTGGGGACTGACGCCAGCCCTGCGGGCCCCCCCCCGGCGTCCGTCCTGGTCCCCGCGCGGCTCCCAGCCAGGCTCGGGCCCCCGCCCCCCAAATATATCTTAAGGTGAACAGGTAGCATGTAAATGAGTTACAACTATGTTTGAGTTTCTCACAGGAAGAACTCTGTGTATGAAAAGTCAAATGAGATGTGTTTGTTTGCAGATGAAACCCTACCGATGAATGTCGTGTGTGGAGTTCTGTCTGGAGTCATATCCTCATCCATTGCTAATCCAACTGATGTTCTGAAAGTAAGCTGTGCTATCTGTGTCTCATAGGCACGTTTCACATTTTCTTATTGAGAATAACATTCAGTTAATGAGAACTTGTGAAAATATCCTACACTGCGTATATGTAAATCTGTTTATAATTTATGCCGCAAAGACTCTAACTTTTAAAAATCCAGTAGGTGGATTTCCCACTGGTACAGACAAGCTCAAAGTAGAGCTACCTCATTTTGGAGACAAGGTTTTTGGTGACTGAGCGGAAAAAAAAAATTAGGCTTGGGTGCATTTGATTTCTTTTTTCATTGAAAATCTCCCTTGTTTTATTGGTTCATAAAAAATAGATGGGCTGCAAGTTTTACACAAATCTAGGCTGCTCATTATTGACTTTCTGAACACATTTTCTTATTTGTTAATTTTATTTCAGAAAATACAAGTGAAAATATTTATTTACCACAATTAGATATAACACATTAGATGACCTTACTGAGAATGGTAGGGCTATGGCCTCTTTAAATTTTTTTTTTTGTAATAAGGCAAGTAAATAACTAAATAAAATAAAAATTATGCATGAGTTACATTTTGAACCCTCTCAGGGCGTTCTTCCCTACCCCCCCCTCCATTATTAAACTAGTATTCTATGCCTCTACCTTGTACAGTTGGTGTACTACATGTTTAGTGTCCAAAAATGAGTAAGACAAGGACCCTGCTCTCAGAGAACCTTCAATCTAATAGCAGATTCTGACAAGCACCAAAATTGTATGCAGTGTGTTCGGTACACTACAGTTTGACATGCACTATAGTGAAGGTACCACGTATGTGAAGAAATACAAGGCTCTTTTGCCATAGGTTTATCCTATGCTGGGACAAGAGAGCTACAGAAAAATATCCATACTCTGATCAATTTCTTATGTGTATCTCAGGGCTTATGGGAAGGCAGTTTCTGTATCTTGGTTTATTTTCCGATGTTAGTGTGGCAATAACCGTTCCCTTCAGAATGTATCAGTAATGTATTTGCTCCTTATACAAAAATAAGGTATCAATTTTTAGTGAGAAATCCTTTTTCATTCTCAGCAATGCAAAGAGCTACATCAAACACTATATTTATGTTGGAATCTTGGTCATGTGGGTTCCATGGCCTTTGTGAAGTTGACTAGTAAGTTCAAGTGTAACAGTGTAACGGGCATCATGTGGCTGTCTCATGGCCAGCTCACCCGCATACCTTTTGGTTCAGCTGGTTGGAAATAGTGGTGGCTTGGAGGAGCAACTAATTTAAGAACTATGCTTGCCTATGCTCAGTGCTGCCAAGTACACCAATAATAATTATTAATTATATTAAATCTTTAGAATCAACATCATTTCATCTCTTTCCTACATGGTAACCAATAGAATAGGATATTTTCTATCCTTCTCAAAAGACTTTTTTAAAAATATTAATTTCTTTTTTGAAACTTAATGGGTTGCTCTACGTAGGACTCTCTGGACTTTACTAGATGCTTTTTGGAGAGTTCAGAGTTTCTAAGCACCAATCTTATTATTTTATATTATATTTTAGTCTACTGAAGACATTTTAAAGTAGCATCATAGTAATATTTATATTGCACTTTTTTCTGTTAATGGTTATTAAGCAGCAGATTGAATTATTTTCTGAGGCATACATTGGTTGGGGGGGATGTGCTAATTTCCTTCTCATGTTGGTCTTTAAAATAATCTCTAGATTCGGATGCAAGCACAGAGCAACACCATTCAAGGAGGAATGATAGGCAACTTCATTAACATTTACCAGCAAGAGGGGACAAGAGGACTGTGGAAGGTAAGCTTGAGGAACAGATCCAACTGATTTACTTAGTTCTTACCTTTTTTCCTTTTTTCGAATCTATTTTATTTCCATCACTTTATTTTAATCCAAGTGACATAACGAAGTAAGGGAAGAGCAGTGGCATCTTTTTCTCTTGAAAATATCTTCTTTAATTTTTCTCTCTGCAAAATGGAAACATAAGGAATATGTCATGATTTTAAAGTATCTTTAAAATGATTCTTAAGTAGTTCTGTGAAGGTTGAGCACGTTTTTTTTGTTTGAGTGATTTTTTTTTTCCTATTAATTCTTATGGAGAAGGTTTCTAGGTTACAGTTCCACTGGGTGTTTTGAGCTCTATGGTTTCATGGTTCTTAAGTGAAGTCTGTGTTATTTATCAGGCAAGCGCTGATGTGGAGTGTTATTTCCTAGTATTCCAGTGACTCGTCAGTTCATAGAATAGACCCTAAAGGTCATCCAGTGTGATTCCTTGCTATGTACAAGGGAACTGGAGGCTCTAAGAGGTGACTTGTCCTGGCAAGGTCTGGCCCAAGGTTGTACAGTTAGTGCCAGAATCAGAAATAGATTTCAGGGCTTTCGAGTCCTGGCCCTGTGGTTTGTTCCTCTGTGTCACTCTACATTTCTACCCACCAGCAGGAAAACGTGAAAATTGGTTGTAGTTTGTGGAGTAGAACCTTTGCACATTTGCAAGGCTTGTTCTATGGAGGGATTCTGAATCATTTTTATTAATATTTTTACCCAGGGTGTATCCCTTACGGCTCAGAGGGCCGCCATTGTTGTTGGCGTGGAGCTGCCAGTCTATGACATCACCAAGAAGCATCTGATTCTCTCGGGCTTGATGGGAGACACTGTCTGTACCCACTTCCTGTATGTTTATGGATTTTAAAAAATTAATATTTTAGATATGCATGAGTTTAGAGTGGAAATTTGATATAAATTATAGATATTTTAAAGAAAGTTTATTGTAAAAGTAGTATATTCTGTTTGAAAGATTATAATACAGAAGTGAAGCAGGACAAAGTAAATGTCTTTATCCATTTACATAGGTAGCTATCATTAAGAGTTGCATGTATACCTTACGGTCATTTTCTATATGTATGCAAATATGTCTACAGAGGTATACACTGCATGTACTTTATTAAAATTTAACAATATATTCTAAATATGTCAGTACATACAGACTTCATTTATTTTTATTAGCTGCAGATTATCACTTTGTATAGATATATCATAATTTATTTAATACATTGTTGGGGTGGGATAATTTTGCTCCTAAGGGGACATTTGGTAATATGTGAAGGCTGTTCTGATGATCATGACTAGGGGGAGTACTGCTAGCATCTAGTGGGTATAGACTAGGGATACAGCTAAACACATTGTGCACAGGGCAGGCCTCCACAACAAAGAATGATCCAGTCCAAATGCTTAGTAGTGCTGAGGTTGAGAAACCTTGCCCTGAGTTAATTGATACCAAGTGTGGTCTCTGGTGGGAAGAGGCTGTTTCCTGCCTTTGATAGTGGTTGTTGTGGCTCAGTGGTGGTTAACTTTGTTTTTTCCAATGGTATCTTCTTCACAGCTCAAGCTTCACCTGTGGCCTGGCGGGGGCCCTGGCCTCCAACCCTGTTGATGTTGTGAGAACACGTATGATGAATCAGAGAGTCCTTCGGGATGGCAGCTGCTCTGGCTACACAGGTACCCTGGATTGCTTGTTACAGGTGAGAATGAATGTCTGTCTGTGCAGGGTGGTGAATTAGATATTTTTTTGGCCTAAGAAGTAACTAAATTATGAGACCTATTAAAACTGAGATGAGTGTTGCTCTAACGCCTTGGGGTGTACATATGGTACATATTTTTTTTGCCACACTGAGGTTAACTTTTATAAATACAAAATCTAGATGTGTATTTAGAAAGGAAGGTTCATTTTCTTTATGCCTCCACTGTGCTGTGAAGGGGGAGAAAATAGTAATATTTTCCATGGTCATAGTAGAACTGTGTCTTCTTCTAAAATATGCCTTTTTCCTATAGAGTTAAAGTGGAATGAATGTTTCTCATTCAGACATCTCTCTCAAAGGAACACATCAATTTTATTGTGATTCTCAGCTTGAGTAATTGGGCCTATCGTTCATGAGTGAATGAAAGTTTTCAGCTGTCTCCCCTACTAGATTGCCAGCAGCCAAAGATGAGACCACTGTTGTGGTTCCCGTTCTCTGGCATGATGCTAGCACACCCTGCGCTTCAAGTATTGCCTTAATGAAGCAAAAAATACTTGTGATTTTTATCCACTCAGCAACTTAGGAAGTAGTGGTGCTCTGAACAATACCTTTACCACCATTGCCTCTTTGTTTCTGACCTATTTAGGAGCCCAAATGGCATGGAAGCAAAAGACCCTAATTGGAATTAAATCTGATTTCTTATTCATTTAACTACTGTTCATCTGGTTTGTGTGGGGTTCATTTAGCCCTTTGTGTGGGGTTCTCTGGCAAGGAACTTTAGTCTTTCACCTATGCAGAAGCCTTTAAAAAACAAAGAGAGACAGATGGCAAAGATTTCTTGGATAATTCTTCCAAACAGGATTTTGTTTTTAAGAAAAATAGATCAGTGTGGCCACTAATTATTAATGCATTTGATGTAATTGGAAAATTATAAATTTACTTTTTTTTTTTCCATTTTAACAGACATGGAAGAATGAAGGGTTTTTTGCTCTATATAAAGGGTTTTGGCCAAATTGGTTGAGACTTGGTCCTTGGAATATCATCGTATCCTTTTCCGTTGCAGTAGATACTAAAATAGATGTGCTAGAGAATATTGTCTGTATAGACAATCATGTTATTAATCACAATTTAAAAGTAGGTTATATTCCTTTGAGTTCCACTGCTTCTAAGAAATAATTACTCGGTTGCTTTTTAGGAAATATAAAGTGTCTATGCTAGTAGACACAATGGATCTTAGTTTAATGATGGTGTTATTGAGGTCAGCCACCAAAAAAAAAAAAAAAGTAATAATAATTATGGTGTTATGAAAAGGTAATGATATCAATAAAAATTTTTAGTCAGACTCTATTTTAGAAGCTGAGAGTATTTATGATTTCAGAGAGAGACAAGGATTGATTTTGTTCCCTAGCCACCTTTGAGAAGGATGTCATTGGCAACAGTGTCCTGGAATGCCTTTTTAGAGAGTGCCTGAAGTGAAGAGGAATCGTCTCTGGAATTGTTTGGCTGATCAGGAGTATTCCTGTGTGCCGAAGTGGGAGGTGGGAAGTGCCCAGCAGTTCATTAGACATGTAAGGGCAGAATTATGAAATCGGAATGTTGGTTTTTCCCATCCTCTTGGTTCTCTTTATCTGCTCCTCCCTCCAGAGGAAGGATTCTTAGTGGAAGCCCTTGAGGAGAGCTTCCCAGGGCTTGCTAACTGTCTCTCTCACACATACAAGTTAATTGTTACAGAAAGACTTCCCACCACATAGTCACGAAAGCTAATAGTATGGATGTCATCTAGGAAGAGGCTGATGTGAGGGGATGTAAATGTCTCAGCTGTGATCTTTTTGTTCCCAGCTGACCTCGAGAAGGCAGATGGGGAGATGTTTGGGGGGGTTAAGGATGGATCCGTCATATTTAATTGTGTCCATAGCATGGGTCTGCATTTATTAGTAGGTGTGCTCTTTGTAAATCTGTTTTTATGCATTGGAGTTGTTAAGGTGGCCTTTTCTTTGTCAGCCTTAACCCATAACTACAGTTCTTTGTGACATATGAGCAGTTGAAGAAATTGGATCTGTGACAAGTCAAGGCTGTGTGAGTCACCCCTCTGGAAATACTAACTTCCGAAGTAGTAAAGCTTCCTGTGTTTCACTCTGCTTCTCACTGCTTGGCTCATCGCAGACTGTGGGATGTGAACAACAGACGGAGACTGGGTTAGTTCTGATTGCTGTGGGTCGGCCTTGGACGTTCTTCATCAGACATTTAATGACATAAACTAACATCCAAACACTAGTCCTTACCATTGAAGTGCCATTCAACATCAAAGATAATATATGAAATGCATGTTTCTTGCTAAAGAAAACTTGCAAGAAAACCAGAAACTGTGAAACTGTTTTCTTCAGGGGGGGAGTAGCTCCTGATGCGTCTCAGCTCACAGCTGGGAATATCAGACTGCTCTAAAGAAGCTCATTGGAACTGTGGAATGGCACCTCCAAGAGAGTATTATTATTCCTGAACTTCTGGGAGCTTTTGTGTGTTGTCACCTGAAGAAATTTCATGTGTGGAGACCTGGACTTTCCAACCCCAGGTATAAACAGTGTGAGAAATAGATTCTCGAAGTATTGCACTGTTCTATAACTTCCTATTTTGGCAGAATCTTTCACTTATAATAAGTGATTTTAAGCCTTTGAAGACTTGACCTTTGTGAGGGATTGTTACAACATATTAATATCTAAATTCATGATGGTGGTGTATGTTGGCTTTGAAGGTTGCAAGGTCTGTGTTGGTGGAAGGTGTTTTCAGGAAGTTTGTGTTCTGTCTTAGGTAATGTTAGTAATTTGTTCTATGATTTAGCAAAGTTTATTATTTCTCAGTCTGTAAAGTGGGGATAACATCTATTGACGTCAAGGTTCAAATATAGAAAAAATATTAGCTGCTGCTACTTTCAGGGTAAGTTTATTTACCTCATACTTTTTACAGCTCTAATCCCTCAGTAAACAGTCTGTGTATGTAGAAGAGGGTCATTATCATGGGCTTCTCGCATTAATTATGAGTGAGCCCTTTGTTAAAGGCCTTGTTAAAGAAACAACACAAATTAAGGTTCTAATACATTTTCCTTAGCAAAATGTTGCTGGTGGATTGGAAGAGCTGATTTTTCCAGATTTCCCGTTTTTACTTTAATTTGAGTAATATTTATCGAAATATTTCCTGTCTTTGACTTCCAGATTAGTTTGGATGGAAAGTACTTGCTTGAAATTTTAAAAATGAGTTCTTTATTGCATCTGTTTATCTAGTTTCTGATAAGAGGTATATATTTTCCTTTTTTGTTTTCTTCTAAAGACAAGCTCATTCTCCCTCTTCTTTCTCATCCTTATCGTATTCTTTTTCAAAACAAAAGGTGATCTGAGAGCCCCAGAACTTTACCCTTCTAGAAAGCAGTCCCAGGAAAAAGAATATATTTACTTGGGTCCCTTCAGTTCTGCCCCTTGAGGACAACATTAAATACATACTAACTGGGGCACCAAGGCAGACCACTCCTCCAATATATGTGGGACAAATTCCCTGAGTTTCCTTCCTCAGTTGAGACAAAATAGAAGGAATGCAGGTTTTTCTTGGGGATCTGGCAGTTTTCCTTCCAGCTATTTTCACCTTGCTTGCTTTATTAATGTTTCCTTTGAAAAAGATTTTGTGAAGCAAAATTTTATTTCCGAAAGTTGGGGCTAAGATAAAGTCATTAAAAAGAGAGGAAGAAAGGAGGGGGTGCAGGGAGCGTGGCGTTTAAGCGTTTATTGCTGAAAGGCTGACATGAGAGATCACCTCACCCTGGCCGTCTCCAGGTGGCAGTAGAGGACCCTGGAGCTCATTCAGGCCTCGCTCCTGGGACTGAAGCAAAACATTCCGTTAATGTGATAGACTTTATCTATAGAGAGGCTTTCACTTTTGAGTTTTTTGAGTTTAAAGGATTGCTTTTTTTGAACCACTTTTTTTTAAATGTAGAAAACATTTTTTAGAGTGTGTATGATTTTTAAAACAGTAGAAGCATGTTCATTTTGAAGACCACATAAAGAGTGAATGTCAGACAGTATTCATTATTGTCAATTTATTCAAATTATGGACATATGCATACCAGGATGAAAAGAGATTCAAACCTCACTGTAAAGCTTAAGCACCTTTTAAGAAAAAAATACAGTATTTCTTCAGTTTAGATTTATTAAGTGCCTTATAGAACAGGACCTAACTTGCTTTTTTTCTTAACCTGATTTTTCTGTTTCCTGGAAGAGCCAGTGCAGTTGAAACTTCTAACCAAGAAACAACTTAAGGAATTGGGAGACTTGGTCCCCTTGTTCTCAGTGGTGTGGCCACAAAGCCCTCCCCCGGCCTTTGGATATTGCTTAAATGTGGCAAAAGGATTTCTGGTTTTTATAACCAAGTTGAAGAAGTGTTTTTTTGTTTGTTTGCTTGCTTATGGGTTTGTGTAATTATCAGTTCTAAATATCACTGATTCATAATATAAAAATGGCTCCTGTTCATATTTATTCATGTGCGAGAAATAGTATACGTTATATAAAGAGTATAAATTTTTCATAAGCCTTTATATTGCAAGCTCTTTATTTAAACATTGTTGGAATATGTGGCATAAACCTTATTTCATTTATTTAATAAAACGGAGTAATATAATGATAAAAATGATTTGTGATTATTTCAGATAAATAAAAACATTTAAACAAAGGCAAACTCCAGAGAATCCAGAAGGCTGCAGTAGAAATAGTGTTTGTGAAAGTAGCTACAGACACTTCTCTCTGCACAGAGAAGTTATCGCGATCATCTTACTCATTGCCCGATGTCTGTGTGACACCCTGTTCCAACCTCCCTACTACATGAAATACCCTGCAGCTCAGTAGAGGTCAGTGAACTTGTTTCGAGGGCTGGGTTCACTTGTTTCAAGGCAACCTAGGTATTCACAGCATCAGTGTGATGACATCAGTGTTGTGAACTGTCACATTCCCTCAGTCCTTCAATGTTGGGTGCTGTGAGAGTCAGGAGCTGGGATCTTTGGTCAGCTGTGGACCAGGCAGGGACACTTGGCTGGCAGGAAAGCAGTGAACTAAATGTGAACTTGGTTTATTAATTTTTTTACTGAAAAGTATTCTCTAGGTTCCTATATTACCTGTCATCTTAATATTTGAATTAAACATGGTGGTTTATTAAAAATCTAGAATTAAACACCGAGATCAAGGGTTTGGATCCCTGTGCCGGCCAGCCACCAAAAAACAAAAACAAAAAAAATGAAACTATAATTTAGACTTTTTTTTTTGTGTCTGGGCATATTTTAATACAAAGAGAATTACAACCTATGTACCACTTTTAATCCTACATTTTTACCTCAATGTCTCATTATTCTTTCAATGTTATGAAATAGTCCTAAAACCATTACTTTCAGTAGCATTTTTGATAATTATCTCTTTCTTTGTCAGTGTCCCCAGAGGTCCCTGTCCTCTAGACGGCTAGATCTATGTCTTATCTTTTTCTTGAGAGCATTAGCTCAGTGCCCAGCACACAGTGAGTGCTCATTATGGCTCAGCGCCCGTACCGGACCGGGACCGGCAACGGGATCGCAACCCTCAGTGCCGCGCTTGCACCTCACTCAGCCAGTGAGCGGGAACCGGTCTGTATGTGGGATCCGAACCCTCGGCGGGAGCGCCACCGCGCTTCCCAAGCGGCGCACTGTAGCAGTGCACCACCGGGCCGGCCCTAATTTAGACTTTTTTTTTGTTGTTGTTAACAGACATTATTTTTTAGAGTAGTTTTAGATTCACAGCAAAATTGAGTGGAAGGTGCAGAGATTTCCCATATCCCTTGCCCACCACCCTCACACGTAGCCTTCCCCGTTATCATCATCCCCCAGCAGAGTGGTACACGTGTTATACCCCATGAATCTACTTTGACACACCATTATTACCCAGAGTCCATAGTTTACATTAGGCTTCATTCTTGGAGCTGTACATTCTATGGGTTATGACACATGTAAAATGATATATAGTTTCACTGCCCTAAAGGACATAGACTTATTGTCTACGTTCTCCTACCTAAGGGATTGAGTGACATACCCTTACATGGTCGACTACATATGAAGGTCAGTGAGAACACATGGCTCTGGTATGTCTCAAATACCTGCAACAGTGGAACTCTCACTTGGGTGATGGCACATGTTAGATGCATTTGGCTTTAAATTCAGGATACATTTTTTTTTTAACTAGCAGCTGGGAAAATGTGACAGGGTAAATTTTTGGTGGATTATAAGTAGATCCATTCTGTAGCAAAGCGCAGGGGTCTACAGGACAAAGGCAGTATATAAATCTATTTCTAGAAAGCTTGTTGCAAATAATGGGACCAAAAGTACCAAGAGAAAAAAACTGGAAACAACCTATATGTCTATAAGTAGGCCCTGCTTAACTAAATGATGGTCCATCCATACAAAAGCCTACCATGTAGTTCATGAGAAGAATAGGTTAGATCTCAGCCTGCTGAGATTTCTTTGTAGTCAAAGAAATCAGAACTTTTCTCAGCTAGTGTTCAGTTCAGACTGACATGAAATTTTAAAAAATTTGTTAAATATGTGTAACACAAAGTTTACCATCTTAACTATTTTTTTTTTTTTTTTTTTTTGGCGCTGGCCAGTACAGGGATCCGAACCCCATGTCAACCATTTTTAAAATGTTCATTTCTGTGGCATTAAGTATATTCACATTGTTCTGAAATCATCACCACCATCCATCTCCAGAATTTTTTTGAGCTGGGTGGTTTTGAGTGGATCTTAGTCCTTAATTCATTTAGCGGTGTGCGTCCTTGTGGCCCTGCGACAGGTCCAATCTGGAAGATAAGAGCCTGAACTTGGATCTGAATACTTTGAATTTTTCATACTTGTGAGAGGTTCTCACAATTCCCTGAACTGATCTAGAAAGAGAAACTGCCATATGTCAAGCAAATATTTTTTATTCAACCAGTCTGTTCCCTGGGTTTCTTTCTGATCATTTCATATAAGGAATAAAGCCAAATACCAAAATTAGTGGTTGCTGTTTAGATCTCTCTAAAGTGCTATGCCCAAGTATTCCTTTATCATAAACAACGCAAGGCTTCGCTAAACACAATACAGAGTGGTCCAATACACAGTTGCTTTTGAGTTCTGTAATACTGGTGACTGCAGGCAAGCAATTCAGGAAAAGTTTGCCCACCATGCCGCAACTGTAACTATTTCCATGCTGCAGATCCTACAACTGGGGCAGGAACAGTGGCGTGCTGGAGATGGTTCAGCAGTGTGGGAGAGCAGATTGCCAAATTTTCAGGAATTTCATGAGCTGGTTGTTTCAGACATTATTAAAAATTAATAAACTTACAGCTAAATACGTTATATTAAAGAGAATAAATACCTAAAGTTTACCACTTCCTTATTATTTTGTCTAGTGTCTGTGCTGTCGAGGTTATTTCTGTCTGTTGTATCTGTGTGGTAGAAATGCTATACAGCATAATGATGTGCTAGTGCATATCTTCCCAACTCCATACTGAGTGATGTCTTGACATTGGCCAGGATGGGAGTACTTACACTGTAGATACTGACAAATGCTACAAATCGGGGCTTTTGTTTTGTTTTGTTTTGTTTTTGCCCTTGAGAGCTGCTTGTTAAACATTTACCAGTGCACCATTCAGCACTGGGTGGGAGGAAAGACAGAGCCATGTAGAATATTCTCTGAATTTAGTCACTTATCCCTGGTGGGAGCATGCCTCATATTGAAACAGAGTAAGACTAGGCCTGTGAACCAAACTGACTCCATTTTCCCTGCAGAGGACACTTTGTTACTTTTCCATTCCTCAGTCATGAGACCCCTCAGAACAAATAATAACCCCATGGGCTGCCCTGAAAAAATAGACTGAGATAAGAGAGGAAACAGATATTTACTGAGTTACAAAACCCCTCACTAAGGCTTGTTTACTATAAATGTAAAAGTTACAGATTAACCTTAAGTAAGACCCCTTTAAGAATTCCCACCTGCGCACAAAGCACCAAGGTGACTGCTACAATGTCCCTCCTGGGGTGACAATGATGAAGACCATTGCCTACGGGGCATGAGCCCAAGACGCAACCAGGAAGAACAGAAGGGACCACCTCCAGTGACGCTGGCCTGCCACCCCTTAACGCCTTTCCCTATAAAAGACCCTGAACAGCCCCCCTTGGGGGGGGGGGGGCTAGCCTTACTGTCCTACCCCCCTTATGCATAAGTCTATCTCGTCTTTTAATAAAGCCTTGTTTGCTTTACTGTTGTGTACGTTGTTCATTTCTATGACTTTGGAATCCGAGAGCCTAATTTAATTACTGGCAAAAATTGGAAAGCTTTGAGCACCGGAGAGGACTCCAGCTGCAAGAGGCAAGTGGCCACTGGGACTATTTTGCTCCCATGTCTCTGCTGCTGGTAGATCTCTCTTCTGGAGTCCCCGGCCTAAATTCTGACAAGGCAATGCTTTATTCTCTTTACTTTTCTCTGATTTTCTGAGCCCTCTTCTGTTTGGTTGGATTGTGTCCACGTCTGTACAGGTGCACCCGGGAGGGCTCCTGGCTACACTTGGTTTCTGATTTTTCGAGCCCTTTTCTGTTTGGTTGCATTGTATCCACATCTGTATAGGTGCACCCTGGAGGGCTCCTGGCTACACTTGGTTTCTGATTTTTCGAGCCCTTTTCTGTTTGGTTGCATTGTATCCACATCTGTATAGGTGCACCCTGGAGGGCTCCTGGCTATGCTTTATTTTTCTTTCTTTTTTTTTTTTTTAAAGATGACCGGTAAGGGGATCTCAACCCTTGGCTTGGTGTTGTCAGCACCATGCTCAGCCAGTGAGCAAACCGGCCATCCCTATATAGGATCCGAACCCGCGGCCTTGGTGTTATCAGCACCGCACTCTACTGAGTGAGCCACAGGCCGGCCCTATGCTTTATTTTTCTGATTTAAATCTAGTTGATACTTTTCTTTATGAGGAAAACTGGGGAGAACTGCTTTTATCAATTACTATTAATGTTGGTGCCACGCCGATTAGGACTAGGCTAAACTGGACCCCACTGCTCCTTTTTTCTCTTTGTTTGTTTGCTTGGTTAGACATTTAGTTGAGTACTGGTAATCTGAATAAACCTTGCAATCCTTGCATCAACTTTTGGACTTTTAGGTCATTTGTTTAAGGTGAGAGGGCAATCCGAGCCTGACCTGTCGATAACAAAATGTGGGTCTCCACACCAAGATTATAAAAAATTCTTCCTCTGACTATGTCCCCCAGGAGAGCCCAGAGGACACTCCCTTCTGTGTGGTATTAAGAAATGTGCTGCGGGAGCCTTAACTTCCTTCAGAAACTGTGATGGATATCCTCTGCATGCTGGGGTGATGATAAGAAATGCTGCCATTTAAATGGGCTTCCTGGATTCAGAGACCAAGGGACAGTGTTTAACACCAGAGGCATACTGGCCAGAGTTGCTCTAATAAGCAGCAGGGCCACAGGGGGAAAAGAGTGCTTTGACTTGTGAGGATCTTTGGTGTGTCCCTAGGAATGAAATAGATGGTCAGCTACTGAAATATAGTTTAATCTGCATAATTGGAAATTATCAGGTAAGCAGAGTTCTAATTTGAGTCATCAATAGAGTTATGGCTTCT